GGTGGGTGGGGGTTATTCAAGAATATATTTAAAAATCTGTCAAAATAACCTCAACCCTGTTTTTGGTTTGAAAGGGAGGGAGGGTTGGGGGTTAGAGCCGAAGAGAAGAGACATGGGCAGAAGAAAAAGTCATTTTAATTTTTATTAAATATACTCTCTTGGCACAAATCTTTTAAAATATATAAACATTATATATAAACAAAGTGTCTTCATGGCATCAAAATGTAACTCCAGATCAAGATGGACACCGGTGGGAGGGGTGTGGCCACGGAGGGCACCAGCCCAGCTGTGTGTGTGGCTGAGGCCCACTCGACTGGGAGCCACCTTGGGGAGGCACGGTGGGGCTGGCGGGACCTGGGGGCCCCTCCCCTCTGCCACCCGGCCTGAGGCTCAGAGAGCCACTCGTTTGGTCTCACCTGCCTGCGGTGGACCCCCCAGCCCCTGCTGCTTTCTCTTGCCTGCTGGCCCTTGGGTCCCCAGCCCGTCTCCCTGTGAGGGGTCCCTGCCTCTCCTGCCGAGACTGGGCGCTGGGCAGGGCAAGGACAGGAGGAGCGAAGTCCACCCAACAAAACAGCCTTGAGACCCTGGGGATGAGAGTCAGGCTGGCCGGCAGACACATGCAAGGAAGGACAGAGAGAGGGGTCTTCATACCTGCAGGGGTCCCAGGCAAGGACACCAACGGGACAGAACAAAGGGGAGAAATGAAGGTCACGACTGGAAATGTGCATGGGGCAAACGCGCCCTCTTAGACCCTTTCACACATCGGCGCTGAGGAGCTCTCTGTGAAAACCGACCCTCTGGTCACCTCTGCCTGGAACCAGATCACACGGGTCGGGGTTTACTGTGACTAGACCCAGGGTCAGCCAGATTAAAGAACAAAACCAAAAGAAATCAAGAAACTCCCAAAGTCATTCTGAAATGTGACACCGAGCAGACCCTAGGGGACTTCTCCATGAGACCAGCTCCCTAGAGGTGCCCTGGGGTTCCCCAATTTCTCCGAGAATCCCCCCCTGGGCTACACACGGTCTCAGGGGCCCCCATTTTGGGAAGATCAAGGCTGCAAGTTGCCTCCATGCGCTCTCTTCATGGAAATCTGACAACCCTGTGGGTCTTAAACTGCCCTGTGTCTTGGCCAAGTGCCTGCTCAGGTGGGGAGCCAGGGACATGCCAGATGCCACACATACCCACAGGAGCCACTGTGCCTAGGGGCAGAGGGCTAGGGCCTAAGGCCAGGCCTCTACTGGTGCGGCCTGTGGGATAGCGATAGGGGTGGGAGCTTCCAGGTCCAGAGAAGGTGACCTGGGTGCCCAGTTTCCAGCAGATGCCCTCCGGCTAGGACTCAGACCCAAACTCGTGGCAATTCCTCAAACCCTGCTGTGTGGAGGAGATGTGACCCTCCTGGAAACATTACAAACCAGACAGGTGGGCGACAGAGAGGAAGACCCACTCCTGGTGCCCTACTATGGCCACGGAGTCCAGGATCCAAATAATCCTCTTGGGAGAAGGCTGTTCCGAAGCAGGAGGCTCTGGTGACAGAGGAGTCATGTCACCTGGGAAGTAATGGCAAAGGTGGGACAGGTGGGGCGGGGCGGGGCAAGAGGCTGTATTTGTAGCCCCAGCTGAGCAGAAGTCTGGCCCCACCTCACCAGGGCCTGGACAGGCTTCTCCGAACACTCTGGGACTCCCCTCTGTGGGCGCAGGGGCAGGTGGAGTCTGGCTCTGAGCTCAGTGGGCATGGGGTCACTAGAACCAGGAGCATGTCCAAGGTCACAGGGTGCCAGGAGGTGGTGCTGGTCACTCCCGGCTCAGGGCATTTAGGGTGACGCCTCCAGGAGACAGTGCCAGCCCCAGGGAGGAGGGATGGGAGAGTGTGGTAGCCCCCGCCCACCAGCCTCAACATTGCACTTCAAGGGCTGCCGGCTGGTGGGACCGAGGCCAGGTCCCCCAGCTTATTCTACAAGGTGCTCCCGACATGGCTCCCAGAGTGGAACCATGCGCACCCTCACTCCACGGGCTCAGAAACGAAAGGGGTCAATGGTCCGCTGCAAGTGGAAGCTCGGCTCCCCGTCTCGAGAGCAGCCGGCCCGCGGGCTCCCTAGCTCTGCAGGTGCCGTAGCAGGATCTGCATGAGGTCGAAGGTGGTGAAGCTGATGCCCACGGCGATGGGGCCCTTGAGCCAGTTCATGCTCAGGCCCTTGTAGAGGCCACGCACGGCGCCCTCCTCCCGCACGATGGCACGCAGCGTGTGCGCGATGGATGCGTGCGGGTGACCTGTGACCCCGGCTGTCTGCATGCGCCGCCGCACCACGTCCAGAGGGTACGAGGCTGACTGCCCGATGAGGCCAGCGCAGGCCCCAAATATCATGCGCTCAAAGGGGTAGGGCTGTGGGCGGCCGCTGTACTCTGTGGACGAGGGACAGAGGGGCTGTGTGAGGGCATCACAAGGGGGCACACGGCCCGGTCCGTTGTGGGTGCACCCCCACGGCCGGCACTCACACAGGCCCGTGCTCTGTCCCTGCCGTGGCTCAGTACTCCCCTGGCTCCCCTGGGCCTTCCCACCCTGGCCTCCTCACCTCCCGGCTATTCCTTTTAATCAAATTTGAGAAGAAAAGTTTCTAAAAAGGCAGAAACTCACAAATAATCCCTTTAACCAAGTCCTACGACCCAGAATGAACTCCCATCTGATCACTCTTGTTTTCCCATCAAGCAAAGAAGGAAAGTGATAGGGGCGACCGCGACCCTCTCCACCACCCAGCCCGCTCCGTGGGTACCCTCCACAGGGCTGCAGGGATGCGGTGAGGTGAGCAGCTGGGTGGACGGGACATGTGGGACACAGGAAGGGGCAGCAGCCAAACAAGAGGGGTTCTTTAAAACTGTGTGGTTGTAGGGGTGCCTTGTGGCTCAGTTGGTTAAGCATCCGACTTCGACTCAGGTCATGATCTCATGGTCTGTGAGTTCGAGCCCCTCGTCGGGCTCTGTGCTGACAGCTCAGAGCCTGGAACCTGCTTCAGATTCTGTGTCTTCCTCTCTCACTGCCCCTCCCCCACTCACACTCTGTGTCTCTCTCTCTCAAAACTAAACAAACGTTAAAAAAAAAATTAAAGAGCAGCCTGAAGCGGCTCAATTGATTAAAGCGATCCGCCTTCAGCTCAGGTCATGATCTCCGCGGTCATTGAGTTCGGAGCCTTCTCTCGGGCCTCGCGCCTTCCCTCTCTGCCCCTCCCCCACTCACGCTCTGTCTCTATCAAAAAATGAACATTAAAAAAAAAATTAAAAAAAAAAAAAAAAAAAAAAAAAAAAAAAAAAAAAAAAAAAAAAAAAAAAAAAAAAAAAAAAAAAACTGGGTTGCTAAGCGCGCTGCTCCGGCGCACTCAGGATCCAAATAAAACAGGACTATCAGGTCATGCAGTGGTGGGATCAGGTCAGTGGGATCATCGGCTCCAGTCAGGCGTTTCTTCAAATGGATCCCTGATCTATGGGATCAATCGGTTCGAGCCCCGCGTCGAGCTCTGGGCTGATGGCTCAGAGCCTGGAGCCTGTTTCCGATTCTGTGTCCCACTCTCTCCCTTCCTCCCCATTCATGCTCTGTCTCTCTCTGTCCCAAAAATAAATAAACGTTGAAAAAAAAAAATTTAAATTAAAACAAAACAAAACAAAACAAAACAAAACAAAAACGGTGTGGTTGTAAAGGTAAACTAGGAATTACAAACAGTGGGACACCGCTATTCACTCAGCATGCTGGCTGGACAGGAAGGAATCCGCCGGCACCCACGCTGGGTGAGCGCATGGAGACAGGGCCGGGGGGCAAGCGGAGTACGTCCCCAAACTGGGGGCTCACACCCTGGGTGTCTGATCACTGAAAACCTGGGAACACCCAGCAGCCCCCGGCAGGGGAGGCCCAGTCCACTGCTAAAAGGCACGGAAGAGCCTCAGACCCGGCAGGGTGGACTCAGAGCCTCCGGCCCAGATCCGGCAGGGTGAACTGAGAGCTGGGGCCCAGCTGCACTCGTCGTGGGTGTAGGTAACTCAACTGTGGTCACCGTTTACAACATTACAAGGTATTGTTCCTGCTACACATAGAAATGCGTGTGGAAGCAGCAGCAGCCAGCGTGAGGGATGCAGTTCTTGTAAAGAGGCCTCAGGGGGGAGCGGGGCTGGGGGTGGGGAACACAGGACCTCAGCTTCACCTGGAACATTTTCTTTAACAGAAAACATCTCGGAGCAACGTCACCACCTGTCTGCACCGGGCGGGGGCGGGTAGCAGGTATGGGTGGTGGCATATTGTTCTCTGTTTTTCTGCACTTTTTGAATTTCTCAAAATTACCTAAACACGAGAGGGCACTCCCTCTGCCGTCTAGACCATACCCGGGACGCTCTGTGCACAAGTGGCTGCCACTGCTCCGGATGACACTCTGGATTTCACAAAGCTGGTCTCAAAACGCCGCACGAAAGGCTGGGAGTCTAGCAGCCTCAGTGGTGGCTTGATATGGGTCTTGTTCTGACTCGGACCTTGACCGGGCCCGGTGGGGGATCTTAGGGTCCCGCCTCGGAGTGTGTGTGACCCTGGGAGGTGCTGCCCTGGCTTCCGTCTCCTTACCTCTGTGCAGGCTCTTGAGCGTCTCATAGGTGAAGAAACTCAGGCCGGCGTAGGGAATGACCCCCAGCACGGTGGGCGTGAACCCGTGGTAGAGGGTCTTCAGGCCCTCTTCTCGGGAGATGCGGATGAAGACGTGAAAGATGTTGCTGTACCTGCAGGACAGAGTGACAGCGTGCGTGGGCTATGGGCACGCAGAGGGGCCGCTGGCCTTGACTAATTCTCTGCTCCTCCCGAAGACGGGTGGGCCAGGGTCTGGATGTTGATGCCTTCCTTCTTTAAGGAACACAGCCACATTGCAAAAGCTTTGGCACTGGAGGGGGAAATGCGTGCCTAAGGCCGTACCCCACCTTCACCTCCCAGGTCACTCTGTTATGCCCAGCCCTTGTCTTTTCACCGTGGGCACTGGTAATGTATCTGTGCCAATCCAAAATGGAGACTTTGGGGGACACTTGGGAGGCTCAGTCCGTTGAGCGTCTGACTTTGGCTCATGGTTTGTGGGTTCAAGCCCCACGTTGGGCTTTGCACTGACAGCTCGAAGCCTGCTTTGGATTCTGTGTGTGTCTCTCTCTCTCTCTCGGCCCCTCCCCGACTCGTGCTCTCTCTTTCTCTCTCAAAAATAAACAAACATTAAAAAAAAATAAAAATGAAGACTTTCGGTTTGATATAAGTTCAAACGAGAGCCAATACTAGTAATGGTCCTAGTATCGGCTAAGAGAACCAATCACTGCCCGTGTGGAGAGTAGCGGCAGAACAGAACGCATGGCCTAGGAACTCACATTTCCTTTGGGGTCACGGCCATCCTTGCTCTGACCAGGTCCAGGGGGTAGGTCAGCGAAGCAGCTGTTGTTCCAGCTAGTGCGCCTGCCAGGAGGCGGGGCCAAGGGGGCAGGGCTCTAAAAGAGGGGGAGGAGACGAGAGAAAATGAGGACCCCCCCCAAGACTTGGGGTGCCCACAGGTCTCAGCCAGGGGGGAGAAGCAAGGATCGGGCAGGGCCTGGCCGCCTTATGGCGGAGTGATGGGTCTCCTGGGTGGACATCATTCTGAGGTTCCCACAGCTGCCTTTCCTTGGCATCTGCTTGTATGCAGTCATGACGTGTTCCTTCCCTGCGGACACTGGGGCGCAGTGGGGATCAGGGGCCCTCCCTGGACTTAGGTTCTGAGGGGAGCCTGGGCAAACGAGAGTTCTGCCGTGGTGAGCGTGCAGAGACAGGAGGACAGGGTGGTGGTGCAGGGTTGAGACGGGTTTTGGGGGCGGCGGGGGGCGGCCACTCACTCTCCGCGGAAGCCATAGTAGTGGCCCAGGATGCGCTTGTACTCCTCGTGGGCGCTGAACTGGATGGCGGCGTAGGGCACCACGCGCACCATGGTGGCCGAGTTCCCGCGCCACAGGCTGAGGAAGCCCTCGTTGAGGTAGGTGAAGTAGAGGAGCCGGAAGGCCTCCTGGAGAGGGGGGCAAGGTCAACACCCTCGCCTGCCCTGTGCTCCATCCATGGAGAACACCCTGTTTTGTCCAGCACTGTGACTGGGGCCACCTTATTGGACCCACCCCACCTTAGCCCCCACATTCTCTGGGCCCCACCCAGGGACCCCTCTCTCCCTGCTCCTCTGGCCCGAGGAGTAGTCACGAGCCAGGGGAAACAAGGTTTGCAGACAAGAGCCCCACACAGAGGGTCTGGCCGGTAGTCTAGCTTTCAAAGATGTTCTTTATCTCTTCCTGTATTACAAAGGTGATGCCTGCTCTCTGTTTAAAAATGAATCAAGTGTGAAATTGTGGGTTTAGAACTTCAAGTCCTCTCCCCACCGCCCCAAGGATGAGTGTCTCCTGTCAGTTCCTGGGGTGGGCTGCATCCAGGCCAAGGTCGGGGCACTAGGACAGGCGGCCCTGGGGCTGGTGGGGGAGGCCTCAGGTCACCTGGCAGCCTGGGAACTGGCTTGTTGGGGAGATGAAAGGGAAAAAACACTTTGAAAAGCATCTTCCTTCACCCCTGGCCACGTGCCACCACCTCCTGCCAGCTCAGCAGGGCAGAGGGTGATGGCCCCAGAGCCAGGAGTCAGTGACCCAGTGGCTCACCTTGGCAGAAAATCTTTTTGAAGACACTGGAAGAAAACAAAAACACAATAGAGACCATTAGATGTGAAGGACAGGACCTCGGTCTGTGGGACCCCACTGCTGGGCTCAGGTCTGAGCATGGGGAGTGAGAACAGCCCCTGAGGATGCTTCCCTGCCAAAGGCTGAGGTGGGGGGGGGGCGCTCTGAGCAGGGTCAGTCTCCTCCAGGGAACTTCCTCACTGGCTCAGGGCCCCCTGCCTGTGAACTTTTCCCCAGGGAAGGGAGCTGCCGCCTCACTCCCCAGAAAAGCGAGGGTCTCTGCAGGGGCTTCTGCCCCTTGGGGTTGACAGCTCGGCCCACCCAGCCGGACTCCAATTCAACCAAACCCCTTTGGGAAAGGCCTCCCTGCCTCCAGCTGTGCAGAGCAGCCAAGGGGCTTGGTCCTCTCAGAACAAGTCCTGGGAGGTGTCCCCTGCCCAGAGCCGACCCTATCTTCTCACAGGTGCAGGCGGCCACCCCAACCAGCCTCCCGCACCCTTGATGGCTGCCGCCTCGCTCCCCGATTCCACAGTGTGCTCTGTCCTCGGGCGCCTGTGCCACAAGGGGTCTTGCAGCCTCCCTCTCCTCACTTTTCCGTCTGCCGTGTTCTCAGGACACCGTCACAGTCTCATCGGTGCGGACAGCTGCGCACACCTACTGCCCTCAGAGCTAAACCCAGCTCCCCGCAGGGCACTACGCTCCAGGTAACAGCATGCTCTTTCCCATGTCAGCTCACTCCTTTGGGAGGAGGCTGATATTAGAGTCCTGTTTTGTGGATGAGGAAACTGAGGCACAGGGAGGCTCGGGGACCAGCTCGAGGAGGGCCTGGCTTGAATCTGCAGTCCTTTCCTCCCAAACAGTTGAGGGGCAGGGGTCCCTGCTTGTGACTGCCCTGTTGTAGGCACTGGTCACTGTCTATGGGACGGAAAGGCCTCCTCTTCAGGGGACACTGTGGCTGCTTGGCCCCAAGGAGAGGGTGAAGGTTTTTTGAACTGGGCCTCCCCAAAAGGAGTGTCCATGTCCTCATGCCGAGTAGAAGTGAATGGGACTTCATTTGGAAACAGGGTCTTTGCAGATGTGATTACATTAGGATGACAGCTTACTGGAGTCGGGTGGGCCCTATATCCAATGACAAGTGTCCTTACAAGAGGAGTGGACACAGACGCAGAGGGCAAAGCAGAGTCTGGGGAGATGAGACCAGAAGCCAAGGATGCCTGGAGCCCCGGGAGCTGGAAGGCTCCTCCCTTAGAGTCCACAAAAGGAACCGACTGGTGATGACACCCTGATTCCAGACCTCTGGCCTCTGGAGTGTGAGCTGAGTCATATATGGTACTTTGTGATGGCAGCCCTGGGGGGCTACCAGGGTTTCTAAGTGGATTTTTAAGAGGCATTTTTTTAAAGTTTATTTATTTATTTAGAGAGAGAGAGAGAGAGAAAAAATGAGAAGTAGGGACAGGGGGCCAGAGGGAGAGGGGGAGAGAATCCCAAGCAGGCTCTGCACAAGAGCCCGATGCAGGGCTTGATCCCATGAACCGTGAGATCACGACCAGAGCTGAAATCAAGCAGTTGGATGCTTAACCGACTGAGTCACTGAGGTGCCCCTAAAAAGGCATTTTAAAGCCAGTTTGCAGTGCAGTTTGGGGGGCTGCAGAGGAGGGCAAGCACCTGGAAGCATCTCTATCGTACACGACAGGCGGACAGAGAGCATTTACCTTGGAAGATGATTTTGGTTCGGTCCAGGGGAGCTACCGCCGTTTTGGCCAGAGCACCAGCCAGGGCCCCAGACAGGAGGGAGCTGAGAACTTGCCTGTGGTCGCTCTGCAAGAAAACACGTGGACACAGTCTGTCATGAGAGAGAGAGAGAGAGAGAGAGAGAGAGAGAGAGAAAGGGAAAGGGGTCTGCTCCGCTGGGGACCTCACTCAGGAGGAACATCTTCCTTCTATTCCTGGTGGAGGGCTGTAACTTGCACAGCTGTCCAAGTGTCACAGCCCTGCTGGGCCCTGGGCACAGTGGGGCACAGGGCAAGCCGTCATGAGTCCAGTGGCCACAGAGCCTGTGTGGGCCACGGTGAAAACTTTTTGGGTGATAGAGACCATCCACGTGAGAGGTGACCCACTGGCTGGGCTGTCCCATGAGTTTCCAACTTCTCAGAGACAGCCAAAATAGGACCGACCCCAAAGAGAAGAATCACTGCACCCCAGTGCAAACCCTGGCTGCGTCCACCGTCTGTGTGCCCTGGGCTCCCGTGCTGCAGTGGTTAAAGCAAAGTCACCAGGGCCCTTGTGGGCTGGAGATCAGGCAGTGGTGTGAGGCAAGCAGACCCTCTGTGTCAGTGTGGCCCCTTTCCACAACTTTCCATCAGGACTGCCAGAGGCCAGCATTTGTGGTTCTTTTTCCAGCCAAGGTGAGGGTGACAGTGACGGTGCTGGCCTGCATCACGAGGCTAGCCTCAGAGCCAGCACTGTTCCCGAGTCTTCTCAAAGCTCCCTGTGAGGAGTTATACAAGAAGTCACCTGCTTACCATGTTGCTAGAGTCTCCATTCCCTCAGCTGACTCGGCCACAGAACTCTTGCCACCAAGGGGAGCACTAGGGCCTGGCGGTGCTCCCATCTTTCCTGGCTCCACAATGAGGAAGGATGGGGGAGGGGCAGGCCATTCAGTGATCCCCGGAGTCCCCGGAGTCCGACAGGAACCAAGTGCCCTGAGGATCCTTGGGACACACAGTGCGTATGGGGGGGATATGTACAAGCTCCCCCTCCCCTTGGGGCTGTCAGTCCACGGGGAGAGCCAGACAGGAACTAAATCTTTAGACAAATGTGTTGAGTCACCAATCTTGGATGGCTGTGATGAGGGGGCTTAGGGTCCCGGGAGAACATGGGGTGGGTGGTGAGGGGCTGAGGTTGAAGGATGAGGCACAGCTAACTGGGGATGCGTGTGTATGTGAGATGGTATTACAGGGGGAGGAATGGAACACCCAGAGGCCCTGATGAGAAGTGGGGGTTCCTGAGGGACCACAAGACAGGCAGGGTGGTTGACACAGGGAAAAGGAGGGGGCGCAGGGAGGAGAGAAGAGATCAAAGGCAAGTGGGGGCTGGACTCCAGGGAGCCTGGGGGCCCAGCAAGCAGACAGGGCCTGCTTGTAACCGTAACCAGAGAGGAGACAGCGCCTGCAGAAACTCAGGGTGGAGAGACGGAGGCCAGGCCCAGGGGATGGGTAAGAGGCATCTGGGGGGTACACTGGCAGCCTGGGTCTGAGTGGGCATGGTGGAGTCCAGGGTCACTCCCCGAGTTTGCTCAGCTCAGTGGGTAGATCAAGGGTGAAGGGCTGGATTCCAAGTCTGTCTGCACACCTGGCCTGCACCTGGGCTCTGTCCTAACTGCCTGCACTGACCATGGCCTTTCTGATGTCCCTTTTCTCATCTCTGACACTGATGTGTTGTCTCCTGGCCAGGTCTGGGTGCCTCCAGGGGCCGTGGTGCCCTGTGATCTGGCCCTGTCTCTGGAGGGCTTCACCTCCTGTTCCTTAATGCCCCCAGTACCTCCCCCATCAGCTTGGCCCTCTCTTCCCTAAAGAAACAATCTCTCATGGCAGTGTTTTCCCTTCTCAGTTTCTGTGGCAGAGCTTCACCGTGGGCTTCCATATTCTCCTCGCTTTACAGAAGCCTGTCACTGGGCCCCCATGCCTTTTCTGGATCACACAGAAGGTTCCGGAGGTCTGGTTCCACCACCTTGAGAAGTGTGGACGGCAGAAGCCGTGAGGTTCAGTGGTGTTCCTGGCAGCAGCTCCAAGGCCCAAGTGGCTCCCAATTTCCTCTCTGAATCAGTGTGATGACCGTTCGTCTCGCGGGCCGCTGAGAGCAGAGGGAGTCCCCTGTGGACAGGCCACGTGCCCTCCTGGTCCTAGAGGTGGAGCCAACGCGTCCCTTCCACGCCCTTCACTAGGCAACTTCCTGCGCAGCCTGCAGTTCTCACGGTCATAAAGCTACTTCTGCACGTCGGGAACACACGGCTGTCAGCCCTGACTCAGGATGTGGTGCTCCGGGGATGTGCTGGGAGCCCAGTTCACATGCGCGGCGGATGAGGCCGCTGTTGCCTGTGGCCAACGCTTCCGGTGACCCTTAAACGACCATGCCTGGCTTATTCTTGAAAGAGCTCGGCCCAGGCACCAGGGAGCTGTCAGTCTCTGTAGGTATCATATGGAGAGCACCTGCGAATGAAGAACGAGGCGGACGGCCTAGCAGAAAGTGGGCAATCCAGACAGGATCCACACGGGCTGCGAACACCACAAGAAGATGCTCAGCTCCTTAACCAAAGAAACGGCTTTACAGAGGAAGCTCCCCACCGCTGACTGGTCAAGTGAACCAAGACTGGTGGCAGTGGCTGGCTAGCATGGAGAACCGGCACTGCACGTGGCTTGGCACACAACGGGCGCTGGTCCTTTTGCTGGGCACGTCCACTTGGTGGGATTCAGGGAGCCAGCCAGAGGCAGGGGGGTGACATCTCCCTCTTGTTCTGTGGGGAAGTTCACTAACCTGTGAGGGATGGGTGTGCCTGCTCTGGGGTCTGGCCTCACTCTCCCTGCATCCACCCCCAGTGTGGCCGTCCTCCCTCCCACCCGGTGCTCCAAGGGGGACCTAGAATTGGAGGAGAGGTTGGGAGGGCCAGAGGATGCTGCTTCGGCCTTTGATGCTGTGGACTTTGGAGAATGGCCCACGTGCCCTGGAGCTGGGTTTCTGTGTGGGCTGGGGCAGTCTGTGTTCCAGGTTCCACTGGAAGAACTTCTACTGGCTTCTATGGTGAACAAGGATGGAGCCGATCCAATTTCTTTAAAGGGGAACATACCTTTTCTTCAATTGAAGGGTGGAATCCGAGATGAGCTTCAGAGAGGAAAACTGGCAGCTGAGAGCACACCCCACACGCGAGCCCCCCCCCCCCAACAGCTGGCCCTGCCCGTGATTAATTCTAGAACCTGAGTGAGAAAAAAGGACACTTTCTGACATTCTAGCCAAATCTGGGCGAGGTTCTGGCTTCTTACTAAGCGGCTGGGCAGGTTGGAACCACATGGCAAACGGGACTTCAAATGGAACAGAAGGTGGCCAGCCCGCACCGCCTGCCCCTCATGGCCTCCCAACAACACAGCTCTGAAAGGATTGTGTGTGCGTGTGTGTGTGATTTGTAATGGGGTGCAGGAACACAGAAGAGAGAGAGCTCATGAAAACGCCCATCGGGGAGGCGGGGTACTTGCCTTGGAATTAACAGGTGAGGGCAGGACGGCCTCGGCATCCTCACGCACACGCACCGCACTTTCCTTCACACCATTACCCATTCCAGGCCAGCTCCAGGCAGCAGGAGACTTGGTCCTGGGAGAGGGAGGCAGGGTGAGACCCAGTGAGAGGAAGACCTCCCCCACGAGCCTTAGGCCTGTGACTCATCCCTGAGTCACCTGAAGCGAGAACTGCCCTAGCTGGGTGCTCTTTCCAGCCTGGCTTCTGTCTCCCTGCAGGGGAAGGACTCTGGCACCTGCATCTGAATGCCAGTCCCCAGCATTGGCTTAATCATTCACAAAAGCCCTTCTCATCTTTGATTTGCTCATCACAAACAAGCCTCTGAGTTGTCTGTTTTTTTTGAACCGAGTAACAACCCCAGGCAGATGGGCTCAGAGAGGTTAAGCCACCCCTGCAAGGTCACACAGCAGGAGGCAGAGGTGTGGCCGGCTGTGGGGGGGGGGGGGGGGTCCCACCTGCCTGGACCCAAGCACCCACTGGGCTTTTGTCAGCTTGGACCTGAGTATCTATCAACAGAAACACTTAGAAAATTAATCGTTTTCCTACTGTAAGTTTGCCTGATGTTTCTGGCCAAGCTTACAGTAAAGGGTCCTAATACTTGAGGATTCCTCCCTGGAACCTATATTTAACCTCTGAGTGGAAGTGCATGCAAAGCCCAGCAAACCACAGTGACAGGAACAGAAGGAAAAAAGAATGAAAGACTAGTGCCACCAAGATGCCGACTGTGCATTGGTGTTTGGGGGATGGGGGGAAGCGGGGGTGCTCGGGTCCCATGCTTTAAAATCAGCCAATAAATTGGGGCGCCTGAGTGACCCAGCTGGTCAAGAGTCTGACTTCAGCTCATGACCTCGCAGTTCGTGGGTTTGAGGCCTCGCGTTGGACTCTGCACCGACAGTGCAGAGCCTGCTTGGGGTTTTCTCTCTCTGCCCCTCACCCATGTGTGTATGCACGCATTCTCTCTCCCTCTCTCCCTCTCTCTCTCTCTCAAAATAAATAAATAAACTTTAAAAAATCATCCAATAAATCAATACACTTTCCCACAAAATAATGCAGACTGTTAAAGCCTCTCCTGCCCTCCAGGCCTTCCCAGGCCCTCCCAGGTCAATCCCAGGGCAGAAGGTCCTAGACAGCACAAACAGGATTCCCCTCCACTTGTCCTCTGCTGCTGTTTCCTACCTAAAATGGGCCCTGGCTCCAGGAAGCATGGCTGCTTCCAAGATGGCAGGAAGCATAAAAATGAGCTCAGAGCACCCTAAGGTGCCAGGGAGGAACCAAAGCCAATGGCGGTGTGACAATGAGACAGGCAGGGGAGTCAAAGTCCCAGTGGCCCACAGCTGGAACTCTCTGAGCAACGAGTACTGGATTATCCTCCAACATATAAATTAAATATCCACAAGTCCGCAGATAGAAATAAATGAGGAGGGGTGCCTTCATTTTTTTTTTTTTTTTTTTTTTTTATAAAACATTAGTTGGGATTTAGGAATGTATCGGGAATTTTATAACATTTCTATGGTAATTTTAGGACAGTAACATTCGAATCATTTTTGAGATGGATTCACCACTTTTCAGTTGTTTATAAAGAGCATATGACTCTTGATCTTAGGGTTGTGGGTTTGAGTCTCACATTGAGTGTAGAGATTACTTAAAAAGAAAATCTTTAAAAAAAAAAAAAATAAAGAAATAGGGGTACCTGGGTGGCTCGGTTGGTTAAGTGTCTGACTCTTGATTTCAGCCCAAGTCATGATCTTGTGGTTTGTGAGATCAAGCCTGTTGTCTGTGCTGACAATGCAGAGCCTGCTTGGGATTCTCTCTCTCTCTCTGCCCCTTCCCTGCCCTCTCTCTCTTAAAATAAATAAATAAACATGAAAAAAGAAAGAAATGATTGAATACAGAAATAAATGGGAAGAAGAGACAAATCCCCCAGGCAAATACTTTGTGCAGAAACTCCACTCTTGAGGGGGCATGGGTGCATGGCTCCCCACCCCTCAGGTGTGGGCTGCGTGTGGTGATTTCCTTCCAAGGAGTACAGGACACCTGACGGGTCCCACCTCAGCCAGGTGATCAAGGTCAATATCAAATGAGTCATGCTGGTGGCCTGTGCGGTGGACACGGTGTGCATCATGATGAGAAGGGCACTTCACCCACGTGGTCCTCATTAAACCCATCACACAGGGCCAACCATGAAAAAACAGCAAGCAAATCCTAGTTGGGGGGCGTCCTACAAAATACCTGACTTGTTCTCCTTAAAATCGTCGAGGTCAAGGGGTGCCTGGGTGGCTCAGTCGGTTGAGCGTCTGACTTTGGCTCGGGTCATGATCTCACAGTGCGTGGGTTTGAGCCCCGTGTCGGGCTCTGTGCTGACAGCTCAGAGCCTGGAGCCTGCTTCGGATTCTGTGTCTCTCTCCCTCTCTGCCCCTCCCCCACTCATGCTCGCTCACTCTCTCTCTCTCTCTCTCTCTCTCAAATAAATAAACATTAAAAACAATTTTTTTTAATTGTCAAGGTCATCAAAAAAACAAGAAAGTCCAAAAAACTGTCTCAGCCCAGAAGAGCCTAAGGAGATGTGAGGATTAGATGTCAGGTGAGATTTGGGGACAAGGAAAGGATATTAGGGGAAACTGAGGAAACGTGAATAAACTATGGCCTTTAATTAATAGTAACCTATCAGTATTTATACATTTGTAAAACATGTACCAAAGTAATGTAAAATGTTATTAAGAGGGGAAACTAGGTGTGTGGGGTGTAGGGGAACTGTTGTCTTTGCCAATTTTTATATAAATCCAAAACTTTTCACATACCAACAACGAGAAGCTAGGCTCTAGGGACCTTTTGAAGCCAGCTGCTGGGGTACCGGCCTATAGGGTGCACCGAGACTGTCTCGTCCCCTCACCCCCTAGCGTGTACGGCTGTGGCTCCGCACCGTCCCTGACGCTACGGATTCCAGGGGATGGTCCCCACATCTGGGCGCTCGGATGGGTGGTGCAGCCTTCCTTAGGGCTGTGTCGAGGCATGGGCATGTTAAGTGTGGACACATTCTGCAAAAGTGTCTTCCCGAGACAGCATCCAGCCCTTTGGTCCCAGCCACACGAGGCTCTGATCTGTGGCCTCACCCTCCTTCCATTCCTCCCTCCCTCCAACTCCTGCCATAGCTGCTTTGGAGGCAGGCAGGTGGTGCTCTGCACAGAAGGGATGTACAAGCTCAGGTGGGGGCGGCCCGTGGAGCCCCCTGGACCTTTTTTCCCTCGGTTGCCTGGCAGCAGGACCTGCTGCAGGAACTCGGCGCAGAGAATTCATTAAGGGGCCCGGGTGTGGTGGATGCAGACAGAAACAAACCCATGCAGACCTATAAGAGTGTGTCGCTGCAGGTGACAGGGCGCCCAAAGCAAGTCATAGGGCATGCTGGGACAGAGGGTTGACGGGTAGCTCCCAAGAGACATCTCCACCTGGAATTTGTGAATGTGATATGATTAGAAAAAGGGTCTTTGCAGATGTAATTAAGGTAGGGATCTTGAGATGAGATCATCCTGGATCATCCCTACATCCAATGTGATCTGATAAGACAGAAGAGGACACATAGGCAGGAAGGCCATGTGACCACAGAGGCAGAGATTTGAGTGACGTGGCCACAAGCTGGCCACTGCTGGAGCCCCCAGAAGCTGGCAGAGACCAGATCTTGCCCCGGAGCCTTCAGAGTGCACGGTCACACACCTTAGTTTTGAACTTTTAACTTCCAGAATTATGAGAGAATAAAACTCACCAGTTTGTGGTGATTTGTTATGGCAGCCACAGGAAACTAAGACTAAGAGCCCTTTTTAGGGAGTGGATGGGGCTCTGTGTTCTTTCTTACCCTCAGTAGAGGAAGCAGGCTGCCAGCTGTTCACCAGGGTCCAGAGCCTCCTGGCAACTCGCCAAGGATCATGGGATGAAGAGGAGATCCTTACCCTGGGGGAATGAAGGGGGTAAGATCTCAAGATTTTGTCCCTCAGGCCAAAGGTTAATCTAAGAAATAAAGAGCTCCTTGCTATTATAAAATCAGTAAACAAACAAAAAACAGCCCAAGACAAAAAAAAAAAAAAGGCAAAAAAACAAAGAAACACCAGGTCACCAGGAAAGAAACAAATAACTTAAAAAAATATATGACAAAACAAAAAAGACCGATAACGGAGAAAGTCAGGCTGACCCCTCACTGAAGGGCTGTTTGCAAGTATTACAACTGTGCCAGGAGATGGGGGTGGACAAGGAGGGGGCGGTGGCGGGGGGCACACCTCTTTGCAGGTGGTCTGGCAAACACTTTGGAATGTGTGCTACCCCAGTACATGAGCCTGAGGACTCACTGGCCCTAAGGCCACCGTCAGCTGCTGGTCCCAGCAAAGGCCTGGAAGGGAAGCGACGCAGAGGGAGGTGACAGAGGGAATGTGTAACTCACATCCCCATGGGGAGAAGCCACTCAGCCTGTCACTAATGAGCACAGCCCACCTTGACTAAGTGAGCAAGGTCAACACCACCGGTGACAGGGCCTATAGACAGCCTGCATCCCCAACATGATGCCCTAGGAGGGACACGACATTGCTGCAGTGAGATTCCTACCAAAGATGGACCCCACAGGCTAACCATGAGTAAACAGCACACAGTCCACACCAAAGGACACTGAAAAAAAAAAAAAAAAAAAAAAAAAAAAAAAAAAAAGGCGTGGAGCTTGTGGATGATGAGGAAAGACTGGGGCACATCACAGATCAGGGGAGACTAGGCAGATCGGATGACGAAATGCAATGTGGGAGCCTGGACCAGAATGAGAACATTAGGGGAAATGCTGGGGAGATCTGAATTCAGGCTGGAGGTGAGCTCCAAAGTTGCCTCGATGGTATTTTCTGGTTCAGGTAGCTGTATCCTGTATGATGCTAATATCCTGTATGATGCTAACATTGGCAGCTGGATGAAGGGTCTACCAGAACTCTGGTTATTTTTGTCACTTTTCTGTAAGGCTGAAATTATTTCAAAATAAAAAGCTAAAAAAAAAATGCCTTAAGGTAACCATGACCTTCTGGATTTGCTAGAGGTTTCGGAGAAACCAATTT